ATTTAATGAAAAATACCTGAATCAGAAGAATATTTTACCCTGTCCCCCATCAATAATTAAAATGATAAATAATGAAACAAATGCAACATTTGCACCGTGTACGAAACATAAGTTTATTGAAATAATTTCTATATTGTTCGTAGTTTTTATAAATCTTAAAAGTTATTAAAATGAAAAATATTTTTAGGCAAGATAGATATTACAGCTGTTCACAAAATGAAAATTATATCGCCAGCGAAAAAGTAAAAAAATACAAGCAGTCAATGAATGTATGTTAATTTTAATTACATGAAGTTCTTCAAACACAATTACATGATGAGTGAAGTTGCGAAAACAATATTTGTTTAGGGGTTGATTAACATAATCCACTGTGTGAACGAATATTATACAATTTATTAATCAGCAATTACTTCATTTCTCTAATGAACATATTTTCAATGCTATTTTTACTATATAATTTATAATTTATCATTATATAAATGTGTATAATGGTTGATACTAATAAATGTGTGCATCACGAGTGTTACCATATTACTAATAAACATTATTCAAAATTGTTATATGATGTATTTATTCTTACTTAACTTAAAATTGCTACTTTGTACAATACCAAATAAGTTTTACTTCAATCGCGTGTGTACCTTACGCGCACTCTTTTTTTTAACTTTTTGAAGGATAAGTTTATATTTTCTACAGAATTTTCGATGAGCTAATTTTAAGTTTTCTCGACGTTTCAAATTATTCTGATTCAAAAAAGTATGTGTGTATTTGACCAAATTCAAAAATGTAAGCCAGTGATGGATCTTGATAAGGACTTGTGTTAATTTGTTTTGCAAGTAGAACTGGTCAAGTCGTTTTTTTGTATCAGCAGAAAAGTAAAAAAAATTTCGCCTACGTTTTCGCAAAAAATGTGAAACCGATTTCACAAATATAAAAACAGTTCAAATAATATGAGTTGAAAATCGTAGTGATTAGTTTAGTCGTTTCTTCGTATTTAAGTATCGATTTTGTTCTGACGATTTGGATGATGCTTTATATGATAAATGCCACTTTTCTATATTTTTTACATGCATTTTATATTTCTATTTCTATTTCTATTTCTATCTATATTCAATATATAATAATTATATTACTTCATTATATAATAATTTCAAGTGTCAATAAATTATAAAATATTTACAAGTTGGAAGGAGCATTTGCATATAGAATTTTCTTTATGTTATAAGAATATATTTAGTTTGAAGCATAATTGTCAGATTTTTTGCCAATAATGTACATATTTCTAAATTTAATCATTTAAGATATGGTATGTCAATTTTCTGCCAACTAGGAACTATTTGCGGAATATTAGTATAAAACTGTTATAAAAGGACTTACAGAAGCATTGGAGATTTATTTTAAACTCTTTGGTCGCGCAAAACCCACAAATTGAGTAATTGCACACTTCACTGTTTGGATAGGAAATTGCTGTAAACATTCTATTATATACGCTATATATATATATATATATATATATATATATATATACATGTGTGTTTGTCTTTATATAGTGATGACAACAATGTCATTTGCATTCAACTGCGATACTGTCATTTTGAAATGAACACCAAACCATGAATTTTGAGACAGTATTTTGGATATATATATATATATATATATATATATATATATATATATAGATCAATATCGCTATGTGTAGAATACACTTCAGCATAAGGTTCGAGTGACATAAAAATATACATATTACTTCATTCAGAACAAATTCATTCAACATTTTCAAAATTCCTTTCTTGTAGTTTTATTATATGAACGGCTATGAACAGCCATTAGTTCTCTACATATCTCTTATACTTTAGATATTTTTTATAACGTTAAGTAAGATTTTACTAAAAATAAATTTGCAATAGCATTCTAACTATTTAAGATCATAATACTGTTTATATAGCTTATGTCAGTGACACGCCTAGAGCAATGCGCTCTATATTCATATTTAGTATTTTATTTCTCCTAGTTGAACTTGTTGTAATTCTATATACTATTCGATTCTATCGTATAACTGAATAGTAATTGTGTATCGAATATTTAAATAAATAAAAAAACATAAGTTTGAAGGAACATTTTTTTCTGATTGTTTAGCAAAATCCAAAGTTACTCAAATAAAATATAAAGCTCAAGACTATTCAAATAAATTTAATATGGATAAGAAAATATTTAAATAAATCATAAAACACAAGTTCAAAGAACCATTTTTTTCTGTCTGATTGTTCATCAACAAAATCCGAAGTTACTCAAATAAAATATAAAGCTCAAGACCATAATTTAAAATAATAGTTGCTTTAAATAATTTTGTGCCTTATAAGCAAAGTTTCAATACTTGTGATTTGAATAGTTTCAAAACATCTTGCAGATTGCAGGTGCGTTATTATTTATGAAGCTTTCGAATTTGCACCTTGTGCATATTGAACTTGCCAACTGCAATTATGAAAAGTTGTACGTTCTATAAAATTGATTTACTGAAGTAGTTTCAATAAGTAATAAAGCTGTTTCGTATTCTATATTCAACTATAGTAGTAACAAAAATAATTTGCATTGTATAGTAGGCGACTTTCAATCTTTGAAACACAGTATTTTTTATGCCCAATATGCCTCTAATAGTAATTTTATACGACGCAATACTCGTAAAGTAATAAAAGAAAAAATCGTATCATCGTAAACTAAAAACATTAGAAAATATTACACAGCCCTCTCAAATTTTTTAACTATGAAATAAATAAATATTTGAAATATATACATATTTAATGAACTTACTTAAATTTTCAAAATACTTATAATAAAATTATTTATGAAGAAGAAAAAAATTATAGTTGTATTGATGACTAAGAGTGCTTAATCTTGCAATAGGCTGTACAGAAAAAAAAAACTTGAAACAATATTTATTTTGATATAGTTTATAGGAAGCTAAATAAACCAATTTTTGTTTAAAGTATATTATACGATAATATTTTTTTTTAAATTAATAGGAAAATATTATTGCAGTTGCAAAAATTAAAGTTTGATTTCATGATTGTTATAATGGTAAAATTCAAATATAAAATTTCATATTTGTCCATTTCAGTGGTTGAATGATTAATAGAGCTAAATTAAATGATTAAGCTACTGAAATGACAATTATGAAATAGAATCGATATTTGGAGTCGTATGCATTTTTAACTAAAAAAAAATTGGTCAGCTCAGTTGCAAAGCTCAAAAAAATCTGAATTAAAATTTTATGAAAAATATTTACTGACTAAAAGCGGGGTAAAAGATGATTCGACCAATAAAATAACTATCACGAAATAGAGGCATGTGGTAACAGGGTAAAAATTTAGGGCTGTATTTTAATCACAAATAATAAAAAATAAAATTAAAAAAAATGGTCAAAAAAATTAAAAAAATTAAGGTTAGCCAAATTTTATCATAGCCCATTCGTTGAAATGAAAAATTAAGTTGAGAAAAAATAATTTTTTTTATTATACGTTTTGACACTTGATGTGTGTCATCATTCAGTGACCACCATGTCAAAACCATGAAACTTATAGATCTTAATAAAATTAAATTTATTGACGAAATTTAACACAAAACCATGATTGGAAAAAGAAGAATTATATTATTTGAATGCACAATGGAGCAAAATATCATACTACTCCGTAAAAGTGGCAGCTCATATCACTTTTACTCTGAGACAGGGTACGTGTCTTCCAATTTATATAAATAGCGTTCAGATTCCAAAACAAAACACAGTGAAATGTCTTGGTCATTTATACAGCAAACTTACTTGGAAAAGTCACATAAAAATGAAAAAGCAACAAATAATGTTCAAAATGAAAGAATTTAATTGGCTAATACGTAAAAAGTCTAAGCTCTCAATGGAAAATAAATTGCTGCTATATAAAACAATCATCAAACCAATCTGGACCTACGGAATTGAGCTTTGGGGCTGTGGTTACAAATCGAATATAGCTATAATGCAGAGGACACAATCAAAAATTCTACGTACAGTACTTAATTCTTCGTGGTACGTGATAAATGAAAGCATTCACAGCGACCTTAACATGAAAACGGTGCAATTAACGTTCAAAGAAGTAAAGAAAAAATACAAACGCAAACTGGACTCACATTCGAACCCATAGTTGATATTACTCAACCTTTTGACATAAGGAGATTGAAACGACACTGGCCTTTAGACTTAGTCTTAGATTAGCTCTAATATAATATTATATTAAATGTTAAACTAAGAAGATCTCATTGGAGTTCTTCTTAGACATCGCTCCTAAATATTGTCAATTTAGCTCATAGGAATTTTTATGTATTTCTGATTGCTAAATAAAACAGAGTTTAAAAAAAAAGTGACAGAACCAATGTGACAAAATTCCATCATAAAATTTAATTTTATTCAGATGTTAACGTTTAAAGAAGTTAAGGAAAAATATAAGCGCAAACTGGACTCACATATGAACCCTTCTATAGTTGACATTACTCAACCTTTTGGCATTAGGAGGTTGAAACGACAATGGCCCTTAGACTTAGTCTTAGATTAGGTCTAATATATCATATTAATTGTAAAACTGAGAAGTTCTCATTGGAGTTCTTCTTAGGCATCACTCATAAATATTGTCTTTTTAGCTCATAGGAATCTTTATGTATTTCTGATTGCTAAATAAAACTGAGTTAAAAAAAAAAAAAAAAAATTCAGATGTATAAGTTTCGTGCTTTTGACCTGGTGATTACTGAATGATGACACACGTCAAGTGTCGAAACGTATAATAAAGAAAAAAAAATTTAACTTATTTTTTTTATTTCAACGAATGGGCTTTCAAAACATTTTTTCAAATATGTTTTAATGTCGAAAAAACTATCAATATATATATATATATATATATATATATATATATATATATATAGATCTAGAATTGAGCACTGAGAATTTCAATAGTCCATTGAACTATTCGAATTCGTTCCAGGTATGCCAGGTAAAAAGAACACAATAGTATACGCATGCTGCCCCGAGCCCTACGTGGACGTGACGTTCACGATACAAATACGACGCAGGACGTTGTATTACTTCTTCAACCTGATAGTGCCATGTGTTCTGATATCGTCCATGGCGCTTCTAGGATTCACACTGCCGCCCGATTCCGGCGAAAAACTGACACTCGGTGAGTCGTCAACCAATTCTTATATGATGTTTTTTGTGTTGTTACATTAAAAAAAAACTAAGAGAAAACTATTTTTGGAATAGATTATAAAATACAAAAATGAAAATTTGTTTATCCCTAGAAATTTTTATTTGCATCATAAGTAAAGAAAATTTCATAATCGATTTATTACATACGTTATAGCATATTTCAAAATATATTATTTCATCAAATTTAATCTGTCTATTGTCATATTCATAAGATGATGCCTCACTTTATAAAGTTATCTAGAAATCTTTATAAAATAACTTTAAAAATGGAAAAAACTTAAGCCGTATTCCTGTTAATGTCCCATAATTCCATATTACAATTGTTATTCAAATAAGAAAAGAACAATAGGGACATATTTATAGCGTATATGTTTCTTCAAAAAGGTAGATCTATTTATCTATATTTAAAATAAAGTAAAGATTCACATGCAAACCTCGATTTTATATTTGCTTTAATAACGTGTACCAAACTATTAACTGAACTTACCAGATATTTATAAAAGCTGTAAGTGAGATTAAAACATTTTCAGACATCAGGAATGAAATATGTTAACAAGTAGTGCGTATTCTTATCTCTACAAATTTTGTGTACAGTAGAATTAATAATGTACGATACTAATTATTGACTTTGAATTTCTTTCAAAAAGTTTATGTCGTGTAGTACCTATAGTTATTACGGAATGCAATATCAGTATTTTGGTATACCGGTATACCAAAAAACCGATATATCATCTAATTTTTCGGCGGTATTATTTTCCTTAAAAATACCAGAATTTTGGTTATTGGAACCTTAGCCCTATTTGATACATGTCATAGTTGAGTTTAACTTGCTCGAGACAGTCGAAATTTAAAAAAATATAATCGCTTAAAAACACTGTCTCTTTAGGCCGTTCTATTGTATAAACAAGTGTCAAAATATTATCTTGACTCGCCGTTAAACTAAATATTTATTTCCTTTCAAAGGGATTCATATAGTATTTTAAGAAATACAATATGTTAATTTCCTTTTTTTTAAAACGGTAACGGTTTTTCAATGTGACATCGGCGCCAAAATATTCTATACTATAAATACTCAAACTCAAAATTAAAATAAACACTTACCTATTAGGTAATCTTCAATTTTGTTATAATTTTATACCTATTAATTATAATAATCAGCAAATATTAAAAAAAAAACATATTTTTATAACATGTTTCTATTGATGTAATATCATAATATTAAGTTGGAATTAATTTTGTAATTTTGTAAATTTATATTTAAAAATTTGTTGTTCATTTCTATATATATTTGTACAAGTTTTCTGTTTTACGTCTAGGTTTTTCTCTTGTTTTTATTTATATTGGGTTACTTTTTATATTTGTAGAAGTTTTTTTTACTCTTAAATACTATCTATCATACTAGGACATTCAGTAATAGGTTTGGCTTTATTATATTAATTTTTGCGTAAATGGCAACCCAGTAGTTGTCTAATGCAGTTGTGACTAATTAACTATACTCAAACTATTTGTTGAAAAATTGTAGAAGTAGCCCCCAATATTGTTTACATTTTTTGGAATAATATTAATACCGGCATTTTATATACCGGTACAAATCGAAAATACGGAAATACCAAAATACCGGTATCGAAAACTTATATCGGTATTGCATTCCCTAATACCTATTAATTCGCGCAATTCAAAGCAATTTATTTATTTCATTGACTACTACTATACATCGAATACTTTTTCAGTTTTTTGATGCCTGTAATCAGCTCTTTGAAATATTGTATATTAACAATATTAAGTATTATTTGAACTAAGTATTATTTGAACAAAAAAATATAGACTACTCTGTACTCTGTGCTAGAAATTCGAATATCATTGGAAGATAACATTTAATATTTTCATTCACGTATATTGTGATTTATGAGTGTTTCATTTAAAATCAGGTCACGTGGCCTTTATTTGTGGTGAATAAAAAATAATTGAAATATTCTCTTGCCTTGAAATGTAGTTATTCAATATGCCTTCTGCTCATAACACTGTACGTTAAAACGAAATGTTTAAGCAAAGCGTTAGAAGCAGAAGGTTTTAAATTACAACCGAAATATAACATTTTATTACAACATATACCGCCGTGAACTGCGATTAGGGGTTTCACATGTCTCTTTTATTAATCTCGTAAAGAACCTTTTTAAGCAATGAAACATCAAGCACTTTTTATTCCTTTAAAAATACTAGAAGCTGAATAAATAATCACCAATCGCATTATTTAATAATCTGTTATTTCATCCATTTACCATCAGAATTAATGTCCGCATAGCAATAAAATCATGTTCATCATTCCACTGGTCGGATAGAAATGCAATTATACGCAGATTATTGTCGAATTAACACACTAATTAAAAAAGCAATTAGCGTTTGTTAGAAAAATAATATTTATTCGTCGCTTCTCATTTGTTTGCATATAGTAAATAAACACATATGTGATAGCATGATTAAAAAGAAAATCAAAAGTTGTATGTATTTAAATTTATGCATATATATAGTAAAATCCAGTTTAATATTCAATTAAACTCAACGTCCAATCAATTTTTATATTAAACAAATAAGGGGTATATTTCTGTGTTTTTAGCAGAATATATTTATTTAGGAAAACGCAGAACGCCGTCAATATTAGCACAAAAAAGTAAAATCGGCAATATTTATTTCGACGTAAAAGCATTATTTTAATTTATATTTTAAATTGAATACGTCCAAAATATAGATTACTTTATTAGATTATACACAATAAAGACTACAATATGCAAATTCTTTTTTACCATATGAAATGAATAAATATTTATATCACATTTTCATGTTAATAGCATTTTTATATTGCCACTTATATTGCGAAAAAATGTGAAACTATTTGCTTTTATATAAAATAATCATGCTCTTTTCTTTTTCTAATAGATTCATGCATTTGTAGCTATTTTTGCAAGAATTTAGTACTTTCTGTCACTTTTTAAAAAACTATATGCTGTACAAAAAATAATCAATCTAAACATTTTTATAGTATTTAAATCAATAATCAACACTTTAAATTGTGTGGTCGATAAAATTTCAGTTTGAGATCAAAATCATTTACTTAAGCGTCACTTTTTAACACTAAACCTACTGACAAAGTCAAATCGTATAGTCATTTATATTATAGTCGGTCAGGAAAAATGATAACTAAAATATATTTTAATTTAGTCCAAAATTTGCAAAAAACATAAGAGTTAATTCCGTGAGTAAAAATTAATAGAATTATCCCACATAAGAAATCAACAAGTTAGATTATAACTTTTATATTAAAGATATAAACCTATTTATTACTTTATATACAGTGAACATAAATATAATTTTAGTAATATTCAAATTAATCTATTTATCTATTTAATATACATTTACTAATCTTGAAAAAAATTAATTACAAGCTTGATGCTTATTGAAAATAATCAAACTTTCATAAAAATCAGATCAGATCTTGTAAATAGAGCAAAAAAAATAGTTTTATTTAATTATTTATATTAATCGCCGATATTTGAGGCTAATTGGATTGGATTATGCCTCAAAAGCATAAATTAAATTCATATTATTTAGTTCAAATTATTCTTTCACTTATTGCGAATACAAACGTCGAATTAACAATTTCACATTGTCTTTTATTTATATAACGTAAAATATGTAGAAAGTTATTTTCATAATAATGTTCAATCATACATATTTTTGATAATGCTTAAGAAGTGTGAAAATAATTAGTTGTCACACTTGTTTCATTTTGATCAGACTAATGGTCATAGATAAAAAAAACTCACATTTTTTCTTACAACTAGTAAAAAAGACGTAAAAAATCTAAAAAAGCAATGCTATATAAAACGCGTAGAAAACTATTTTATTAAAAATGTTTAAACATTGTGTTTCATATCGTTTGAAAATTATACATAAAGATGAAATTAATTATTTTGACGAGTTCTGGTAGGTTTATTGTTAATAATAAGATATTATGATTAATTATTAATAGATATTAATAGATATTTTTATTAATAGATATTGTTAATAATAATAAGATATTATGATTAAAAGGATACAAGAAATAAAATAGCCTTGAATCAATTAGTTCAGACTTTATTATCATATTTTCAATATAAAACATTTTCTCTGAGAGTTACATTGAATTACTGTAAAACTTTCGAAAAAAAAGAGAAATCTTAATCTGCCTACTATAAACTACAAGAATATTTTAATAATAATTTTCGAACATGTGCTAATGTTTAAAACGTGCAAAATGTAAGAAAATGATTACTTTGACAAAATCTTGTAGGTTTTGTGTTAATATCAATATTAACCCTTTCGCTACGAAAGTGTTTTCCGCAGGAAAGACACTGGTGTACGAGCCAGCGAGCCGCCCAGTAGCGCTACTAAACATACAAGCTCAACGTATTTCAGTTTTTTTTTTTTTCAATTAATATTGATAAATATGTTATTCAAATTATAAATTTCAATTCCAATAATCTAAAAATTGCAATAAGGAATGAGAATTTTTAACAGTTTAACCTAGAATCATTAATATGAATGATGGTCGGAACATTGGATGTCGTCCATAGGCGGCACCCGTAACACGGGTCGGCATGAGGATGTCGCGTATAGGCGACGCTCGTAGCGAAAGGGTTAATGTTGCAATAAAAACGGACAAGAAGCGTTACGAAAATTATACTAGATTAGCCATATGTAAATATAATAATTCAAAAAGTTTACAGTATTTGGTAGAGGCGTTTAAACATGGTTTTGTGTTTTATGGTTTAAATGACACACCGATATTCATGTCGGTGATCAATCATATATTCTAACAGTTGTAATATTTCAGGGGTCACAATCCTCCTATCTCTCACAGTGTTCTTGAATTTGGTAGCCGAGACTCTACCTCAAGTGTCAGACGCCATTCCTCTGTTAGGTAGCCCCGACGCTTTGTATTTATGTCATCCGGTGTGTCAGTGTCAATCGGACGCTGACTGAATGTCATCGCATCTGATTCGTACATTTGTCATCATCGCAATGCATGCATGTTGTCATATATGGCCTTTGCCTCCGTTTTGTGTTACATGTGTTATCAGCATTACACACACTCTCTAAACATAATAGTGAAACAATATCGATGTGTTTTGCATTATTTTCATTTCGTTATTATTGTATGCTGTATTCGAATATTGACGTTTTAATTTTAATAGAAAGTTTCAAATTGGAAATAGGGAAAGGATTTTTAGTCCCGAACGCAATTTAAAACACACGCTTCATTATTCATTGTTTATTATATTTTTACTGATCATTTTTTCATCACTTAGAATCTAAATTTTAAATATATTTTTGAAAAAAATTGGGAACAATTTCAAATTAACATATGTTCATGATACTGCTCCACGAGAAAATTCTTCTTAGTCGCAAATACGTTTTAAAACGTGCTTTATATTATATCCTACAAAAGTTAATAATTAAGCATATTATGATACTGTTCGGAAAAAAAACTTTTACATACTTTAGCAGTAAGTAGGGGAGACTGGATACGATTGTGCTAGGGTACGGTAGTCACATTTTGACATAAGGTTCAAATGAAAAAAAATAATATATGTTTATTTGAACAAGTTTTTGTTATTGTATTGACCTAGCACCCTACATTGACACCATCTGAGGCCGCATTGCTTTTGAAGAGTCAAAAGTTAATTTTTGTTTTTTAGATTTCTTTTCATATTAACTGTTACTTGTTTACCGATAGATCAGTTTGTTTGTTCTTTATCATACTTCTGACAATAAAAGTTGTTATTAATAAGGTGACCATACGGTGCCGGATTGGCAGAAACTGACACGGATTTCTACCTTGCGTCCCGGGTTATGTTTAAAGTATGATTTGTACCGAATTTAAATCTTTTGTTATGGATTGTCTCGGTTTTTCAAAAATTAGCAAATGAGTTAACAAAAATTATGAAAACTAAGTGCTATTTTTTTCAACTAAAAATAATATTTATGAATAGAATTGAATAGAATTGAATAGAATATTATACAAAGCGCAAAAAACATATAGATCCATATAAGATATAATATTATCGATGAAAAAGTATGATATATAATCGAATAATAAAATTCTTACTAAAAGTCCGCAATTATTATAAAAAAAAGATTTATATAAAAAAAACTTATTATATACCCTCCGTCCCGGATTAGCATAACTGAAAATTACCGTCCCGGTTTTGACTTATTGTTAGAAAAATATGGTCATATTATTAACCATTTTGGTATTTTTCTACCAAAGCTATCATTATTCAATCAATTTCTATGTTTGTCACAGCCGTCCTGGGAATGTAAACGGTTGTGACACTCGCCATTTTCTTGAATGATTTGATTTTATTACTAATCCATTGTATTTAAGAACAGTATTTCATTAAGTTCACATAGACAAATGTTCAAATGAACAATTAATTTACCTTTCTCCAAGTTACCTTGCAAATTAATAAAATTATTGTTGAGTAATAAAATAGTGGCACTATGGTACCCAGTCGTCCTACTACTACTAAAACGCAATTGCAAAAATGTCATCATTTTACGTGGATTGTTTTCCGTAATCTGAGTAGATTCTGACATCCATCCAAGAGAATCATGATATATTCTCTTATAACATGTGCATTATTTACTTTATATATATATATATATATATATATATATATATATATTTAAAAAAATTGAATTTAAAGCGTTTCTCTGCGTTTCGATACGTGTAAGTTAATAAAATGAAAACAAACTTGTTTTTAAGTGAACAATAAACTATTACATTTGTAACAGAATGCGTCACGTTATTTGCTTTTAGTAAAAATTATGATAGATATAAAATTAAATTTATTTAATTTCAATAACATTGTTGCCAACAGCACAACCTGAATTTTAACCAATGGCACAGCCAAACACGTCGAATGGTGGCTTATAGTTTCAAAAATTAAAATAATTTTATTGTGAAAAATACGATAAATAATTTTACTATTCTGAAAAATACAATAAATTAAACTTACATGCAGATAAATGGGTTTGAAATATATTTCAAAATTTTTGTAGATATTGTATATTAAGTCTTTGATATATTCCATTCTAAAGTGCGATGTCACAAAATGTTAGGTTTCTCGTAGAACTTCTAACGCACTGTCTTCTCACTTTGCCAATACATTTTTCTTTCCACGTCATATAATTTATGGATATCTTCTCATCTGTAGAATATTAAAATGTCTCTGTCGCATAACTGATCACGTAAAGTCGAATTAATTTTTTGAATATTTACTTTACCAAAACACGATTATGTTCGAATATAAATATTTGTGTGGACAATGCTATTATCTCTATTTAATTATCATATTAAATAAGTTTTTAAGTTTAGAGCTTTGAGTTTTATTTAAGGTTTATGTAATTGCATTTGTGTTGTAGCACGTATACGCTAAGCTTCAACCTGATACAATATTTAAATTATAATTTGCGCCAGCTAAACTGCTTAAACATCAAAGCTGAAATGATATGATTTTAAAAGTATTAAAACGTTGCTAAAATATAAAATGCTTGACCCGCCTGTAAGAGGCATAGAGGTAGGGAGCTAGGGGTCTGTTGTAACAGATTGTTTTAAATTAATATATCTTGAAATTCACTGGATTATATTTTTACGGAATAAAAATAGAGAGTTGATGTAACTAATCATCTATCGAATCAATTAAAAATATAACCACAAATCTTTTTTCATTATTTTACCGTTCATCAATTTTTAGTGCGGTGTTGCAACTTACTTCGTGTTTGGGGCTAGTTATATCTACCGGACCAAGTAATAACGACAAAAAACAACAATAATGATTTTGATAATTCATTCTTCACTTATTTTTAAGAAAATTGACTTGTTTCTAAGTAATTATTTTCATACATCAAAGCAAACTCAAATTAATACAAAAAAATACATAATGTTTTCTGTAACATGATTTTTTTTTATCATAAATCAACGTAAACTACAATTATTAACGTGACACAAATAAAGGATATACTGTCTTTTATAACACAATTTACAAGTGCCCACATATTTTAATTTATATATCAATTCAATCTTCTCTGTTTGAATCTATACATAATTTTTGTATTTTACAACTAGCCCCAAGGTTTTGTTTTAACTAACCTCAGACATGATTTTTTTACATTATTCGAGATAACTATTGGTGCAATTTAGAAATCACAAAAATTGTTACACATTATCAAATTTTGATAAATTTAAAACTAGATAAATAAAAAATTCATAATTAGTCAATAATAATTATTCAAACTGAAAATTTCTGATAGATCAGTTTTATGTTGCCTGTAAAACATGACGTACCTACACAGTTCTGTTAATGGAGTCGGCCTGCGAAACAGTAGCTATGAATATATTATGCAAATATTTTAATATCGTCTTAATTCCTATTGAAAAACGCCCGTTACTAGTTAACCCTATTGCAGATAGCCCCTAGTTCTCCTATATATGACCGGTGCGGGTAATGTCCTTATATTCACATTTCCAAAATTCTTATGAAAGATACTAAAATACCGGGCTATTGACATTCTTCGAAAAGATACATTTATGAGTTATATATTCTACATAACATTAAAAAGGTCTAACAATAAGTAACAATCTATTGCGAGACTAGATACACTGCAAGTTGTGAAGAATTAGGTCACTGGACTACACTGAACGAAATCAGTTGAAATTGAATAAGTTTTAACAGAATATGTAATAAAAACTTATAAAAATAACATCAATTAGTTACAAAGCGAACATCTGATCTCAACAAGATTTCCTAAAATTGAAGTTTGCAAGAAGACGCGTCTGGGAATCTAGGAGCAAAGTTCTTCTAAGGACTCATAATCGTTGTTCAAAAACTCTTCGCTTGAGAACTTACATGGAATAATAATATCGCTAATGATGCGCTGCACGGCTTTATATGTACAAACTTTACAAATACACCCACAGAAATCTTTTTCATACAATCGATACCGAACTATGAACATGCGAGTATAACGACCAAGATACCGTACACTCCTTTTGGCTTATTTTATGTTATCGAAGAATATTCGCATCAATTTGTTTTGATGTTCCGATTTGCATTTCTCAACAACAACCGTAGTACTAAAAATAGTAAATAAAATGGTTGGGTTACATAAATGAATGAACTTGCACAGAAGTATATCGAACTGTGAATGTGTCATAAACCAAAAATTTTCTTACTATGGAACAATCAAATATGGAAATTCGACAACACTAAATCAAATAGGCTTTATTTACTCACAAAAAATAACTGTTCTCCAGTTAACATATTTAATGTCAACTTTACAACAATCAATTGTTGTTAAATATTTGGGTTGCACTAAGACTCAAAACTCACCTGGAAATGCCATATCCAAAAAAAAAGACACCAACTTGAAGAATCTTGAAGAAAACTATATTGGCTATTAAACAGAAAATCGAAATTAAGCTCATGGAACAAGTTGTAATTGTACAATGTAATCCTAAAACCAATATGGACGTACGGCTTTCAACTATGGGGAACATCTAAGCTATAAAATATCCAAAGATTCCAATATAAACTTTCGAGAGAAATAGTAAATGCTCCTAAATATGTAACAAATTGGCTCATTGATAAAGATTTGGATATCAATATTGTACATGAGGAATTTTTGTACGAATTCTTGTAGACAATTCCAAAAACTGTACAAAACAAAATTTACTGTATGTTAATTTTATATACAATAAAGCTTAAAATCGATTTGATTTTATATAAAATTGATGCTTGAATTGATGCTATTATAAAAATACGACAAAGTTGTAATGAAATATAATTATTATCGGTATATGGAATAACTGCCAAATAGTTTTTAATGACTGATGCAAAACCATTATAATGATGCATA